CTCTCTCTCTCTCTCTCTCTCTCTCTCTCTCTCTCTCTCTCTCTCTCCTTTCATACTCTCCCTGCTCCTCTTACCTGTGCATAGTATGAACTGAAGTGAACTCTTTAAAAATGTTTGCTATTAATCAAAAAATACTTTGATAGTCCTTGTTCTTAATTTTTAAAATAAGACCAGCTATTTTATTTGACTAATTACCTAAATTAAGTCATGTTGTTCATTTGGTCTTCAGTTTTTAAAAGCAAACAACTCCCCACTCCTGCTTTATAACAAGGAACATGCATTTAGCTAACATAAGGGGATATATGCAATTGACAGCAACACTGAACAATACAAGGAAAACCTACCATGAGGAGACCTTTGTAGGCATACACAATGCCGAGCCAAATAGTCATGTGGCTGTTCTCACAGTGCTCCAGAATTGGACGGATGGAAATATCTCTGCCAGCAGGATCCGGCTACCGAGAAAAAAACACAATAATGATACCTGAATATCCTTATTGTCCTCTGCATTCAATAATTCAATGAACAAGAATTAATGAGCATTTATTAAGTGCCTATTATGCACAAGATGAAAGGCACCATGGAGTGACAGAGAGAGAGAGAGAGAGAGCTGGTCTTGGAATCAAGTGCTGCCCTTGACAAACACTGAAAGTGTGACCCTGAGCAAGTCACTTAACCTCTTGATTCTGTAGGCATCTTATTAAGACCGTAAATTATGACTGGGCGGCCAGTCTGTCCTGGTAGAGAGCATTTTTTTCTGGCAGCTCTCTATATTCATAAAATCTTGGGTCTAGACAAAAGAAAAAAAATGTACAATGTAGAAAAAATGTACAAAAAAAGTGCAGTTCTCCTAGGGGTACTGAGAGGTGTTCACGTGGTTAGCAGGTGTGAGAGACCTCAACTGAACCCAGGTCTTCCTGACTACATCTAATATTTCACACAGCTAAAACTGACTTGGATTTTCACATATTGTATAGAACCTTTCTAAATCTTCCTCACTGGGCAGTCATCCTGTTCCTGTTTGAACACTTTCAGTAACAGGGAGCTTAATACCTCCCAAGGCAGCCCATTTGATTTAATAATAATAATAGCTAGCATTTATATGATGCTTTTTTTCCCATCTTTTTTTTGGGCAATTGGGGTTAAGTGACTTGCCCAGGGTCACACAGGTAGTAAGTGTTAAGTGTTTGGTCTGAGGCTGGATTTGAACTCAGGTCTTCCTGATTTCAGGGCTGGTGCTCTGTCCACTGTGCCATCTAACTGTCCCATATCATGCTTTTTGGAGCAGCTAACAGTGGACAGAGCACAAGCCCTGGAGTCCGGAAGACCTGAGTTCAAATGTGACCCAGACACTAGCTGTGTGACCTTGGATAAGTAATTTAACCCTGTTTGCCTTAGTTTCCTCATCTGTAAAATAAGCTGCAGAAGGAAACGGCAAACCACTCCAGTGTCTTTGGAAAGAAAACCCCAAATGGGGTCACAAAGAGTTGGACATGACTGAAATGAATGAACAGCAACAACATATGATGCTTTAAGATTTTCTTTATATATTTTATATACATTATCTCACTTGATCTTCACAAACAACTGTGCGAAGTAGGTTCTATCACCATTCCTGTTTTACAGACCAGAATTGGCACTCAGAAAGGTTTAGTTGAATTGCCCAGGGTCACACAGCTAGTAAATGTCTGAGGCAAGATGTGAACTCAGGTCTTCCTGACTCCAAGTCTGGCTCGCTATCACTGAACTACCTAGCTTCTCTAACTATTGCAAAGTTTTCCCTTATATGAAGCCTAAATCTGACTCTATCCAGCTCCCTCTTGGGTCTAGCCTCTGGGGGAAAGGAGAACAAATAAAATTCCTTTTTCATGTTTTCAAATACTTGAAGACTGTCATCGTGTCCCCCCTAAGTCTTCTCTTCTTCTGGGTAAGCATTCCCAGTTCCTTGAGATGATCCCCTAATGGCAGCCTCTCTAGTCCCCTCAACCACCTTGTTTATCTTTCTCTGGATTTGCCAACTTGTTAGAGTTTTACTAAGATGTGACAGCTAGGTGGAGCAGTGGACAGAGCTCTGGGCCGGGAATCAGAAAGACTCATCTTCTTGAGTTCCAATTTGGCCTCAGATACTGGCTGTGTGACCCTGGGCAAGTCACTTCACCCTGTTTGCCTGAGTTTTCTCATCTATAAAAAGAGCTGGAGAAGAAAATGGCAAACCCCTCCAGTATCTTTGCCAAGAAAACCCCAAATAGAATCATGAAGGGTTAGACACGATTGAAATGACTGGACAGCATTAAGATGTGGTACCTAGAACTTAACACATGAATGTGCTAGATGTGGTTTGACCAGGGCATTGTATAGTGGGACTATTGCCTCCTTATTTCTGGACACTGTACCTCTCTTAACACAGCCCAAGATTGCAGGAGCAATTTTGGTCGCCATGTTACACTGTCCACTAAAACCCACAGGTTTTAAGCCGTATCTTCCTTATCTTGTGTTTACCCAGTTAATTTTTTGAACTTTATGTGCAGAAATTTCCATTTATTCCTATTAAATTTCAGCTTGTTAGTTTTGGCTCACTGTTCTCCCTGTCAAAAAATTTTTCAGATGCTGCGTCTGTCACCCACTTTATTAGTTTTCCTTTCCAGCTCTGTGCCATCCTGAAGGTTTGATAAGCATGTCTTGAGTTTATTTGATTAACTGAGATCCTGTGCCTTACTCAGAACTGTCATCCTGTAAAAAATATCAGGTGAGGCGGCAATTCACAGACTTAGAAAATTCTTGCACACTTGCTTATTGACAGGGCAAACAAAAATTGCAGAGACTTTAATTCAAATAAACAAAAGTGTTTATTCATAGAATGGTGGATTCAAAGCCCATCGGAGTTGGGAAAGATCTTTAGAGATCATCTCGTCCGACTCTGCCTTAAAGAGGAGAACACGAGGCCCAGCAAAGAGAAATCATTTACTCAAGGTCACACAGTTAGCTAATGGCATAGAACCACACCCAGAACCTGGGATTTCAAGGTTTTTGTAATTTTCTTGGCTTTCTTGGCAGAGACACAGGAGCTGTTTGCCATTTCCTTCTCTGGCTCATTTTACGGATGAGGAACTGAGGCAAACGGGGTTAAGTGACTTGCCCAGGGTCACTCAGCTAGTAAGTGTCTGAGGCCAGGTTTGAACTTAGGAGCTGAGTCTTCCTGACTCCAGGCCCGGTGCTCTGTGCACTATGGCGCCACCTAGCAGCCCCCAAATTTCCATTCCTCCCAGCAATGGAGATTACAACTCATCTGTAACTAACTCTCTGGGAACCTCCATGGCCAAAATATTCATCAACCTGGGGTCCACTTGGTGATGAATATTTGGAAACTGAGCCATGTTGGTCTCCACTTCAATCAGCCCATTTTACAGATGAGGAATGCTCAGGCCCAAAGACCTGGTTTTATATAAAGGGCTTGTGGAAGAATCAGGATTAGAAGCCAGGTCTCTTGACTCCCCCTATACCACAGTTTAAAGTGGTTGTGGGAGGGAAGTAAATGTAAAAATGGAAAACAAAAGACGTTTTGTTTTCTTTTTTTTTTTTTTCCGGTGAGGCAATCGGGATTAAGTGACTTGCCCAGGGTCACACAGCTAGTAAGTGTCAAGTGTCTGAGGGCTGGATTTGAACTCAGGTCCTCCCAACTCCAAGGCTGGAGCTCTAATATAAATAATTATAGATTTATTTTATTTTGGAGGCCATGGGGGTTAAGTGACTTGCCCAGAGTCACACATTTAGTGAGTGTTATATGTCTGAGGCTGAATTTGAACTCGGGTCCTCCTGACTCCAGGGCCAGTGCTCTATCCACTGTGCCACCTAGCTGCCCCAGTAAACTTCATTAAGTGTCTCCTATGTGCAGGGTACTGTACTGGTAGGCACTGGGAATACCAAGCTTGCTTGGGGGGAGGTCCAGAATGTCCACACAGGGTTCTTGTCCTGTTCTTCATAGTGCCTGCTCCCTTCCCCCATCCCAGTGAGCGCTATCGTCCGCCCAGACCCTCTTTCATTCCTAATGCTGAATAGAGAAGTGGACAGGAGCAGGAAGATCATGTTTAAGCCTGAATGACACCATCCACTTGGACAACATTTGCCTTCTTAAGACATGGCTTGAACATGATGGGGAATCTCCTCTTGCTCTGACACCTGGACAAACATCTTGTAAGCACAATTGATCTATTAATCAATCAATCAATAAGCATTTATTAATCATTCATTCCTCTGAGCATCTATTATGTGCCTAGTACTGGGGATGTAACACAGAAAAAGAGGCAATCCTTCTCCAGAAAGAGTTCATTCATTCATTCATTAGTGGGAAAAAAGGGTAAATTTTTTGTTTAAAATTTTTATCTTTCTCTTGTGCAAGGTTGATCTAAGGAGGAAGAGAACTAATTCCCTCAGCATCTAGGTCAAAGGGCAGAACAATTCTGTCAGAATTCTTCTCTTGGGAGCGCTTGACTGCTGCTGTGAGACCAGCTTTTCAGCCACCAGCCCTGTTGGGTAGGTGAGCCTCAGTGAGCTTCACCAGCATTTTCTGGCACAGCCCAATGAAGCCAGAGCTCTGTAGAGCTAACTGCAGTCAAGGATCCCAGTGTGTGACATGGGGAGAAAGATTTGTTTCATAGTGAAGAATTAAAGGTGAATCATGCCTCTGAACTACTCAAGCACTTACCCTGGGGATAATCCATTCAGCACTTTGCATATCTGATCTTTGTAACCATCTTCATGACAACGAAAATAATTGATTCCAAAAATGACAAAGTGAGAATCACAGTAAAGTAGGTGACTGAGAGCCTTAGGGTTAGGAAGACCTGGGTCCAAGTTGCCTCAGACCCAGGATGACTGTGTGACCCTGGGCAAGTCACTTAACTTTTCTGGGCTTCCATTTCCTCAACCATAAAACAAAGGGTGGCTAAATGGCTCAGTGAATAGAGAGCCGGACCTAGAGTCAGGAGGACCTGAGTTCAAATCTGACCTCAGACATTTACTAGCTGTGTGACCCTGAGCAAGTCACTTAATCTCTATTTGCCTTAATCCACTAGAGAAGGAAATGGCAAACCACTCCAGTACCTTTGCCAAGAAAGCCCCATGGACATACTGGTGTCTATGGGATCATGAAGAGTCAGACACGACTGAACAACAACAACTACGTGAAGTTGGACTAGAAGACTAAGGTCCCCTCCATCTCTATAAAACCCTAGTGGCTCCCTACTGTCTCCAGAATCAAATAGAAAATCCTGTTTGGCTTTTAAAGCCCTTCACAACTTGGCTTCTTTCTACCTTTCCAATCTTCTTTTAAATTGGTTCCCTTCTACATACATTTCAACAACAGTGACTTTTTTACTTTTGCCCACGTAGGACCCTCCACCTTTTTTTTTTTTTTTTTTTTGTGAGGGAATTGGAGTTGTGACTAGCCTAGGGTCAC